GACCCATCAGAGGTTCATGTCCAAAGATCTCCCCCTACCCGGCTTATTCTTTCTGTTGCTTCTGTTGCTTCCAAGTGGCTGCCCCTGCTCTCCACCTTGACCCAACCAGTTCTTCTCTTTCATTTACATAATAAATATTTCTTGAAAGCCACTTCTTTCTTTAAGGTCACTCTAAGAACCACAGTAATTTTTCTTCTCTAAATTCCTATAACACAACAACTTTGGCAAAAATTGAGTTTTTCTGTCAAATGAGTTTGGAAACTGCAGCGTTCTGTACCCCTGATTGGGGATCCATAATGCACATTAACACAGAAGTGGCTCTGAGAAGTCCCAAAATAAAAAGCCTTAACTCAATTTCCCTGAGGTATTAGGTCCTGTGCTCGGCACTGGGCTTGCAAGGGTGAGGCCCACACAAATCTATCTCTTCAGGGGCATAGCTAGGGGAGACGGGTAAGTTAATAGCTAGTTGGGATATGATTTTATACATGCACTCATAGAGGCATTTGTAAAGTGCTAACAAAACAGAGGAAGAAGTAGGCAATTCTACCTAAAAAATTTAGGGAAGGTTTTGCAGTTAAGAGGCTATTTGAATAGGAGTTTTCTAGGTGGAGAATATGGGAAAGGGCATTCCATAGAAATAACAGCATATTTGGATATATAACTATACCTTTGTGTTGGTTTTTGGGATATTAAATATTGTTCAAAGTCTCCCCCCCCCCCCCCCCCCCGTGTAATATATCATTAAAATGGGGTTAAGCAACAATGAAATTCATTGACTTGTCAAACAGAAGTCATGGACTTCAGGCATGGCTGGATCCAGGAACTTAAACTGTGACATCAGGAGGTAGTCTTTGTTCTCCATTTCCTGTTTCTGTTTTCTTTTTGTTGACTTTTCATTCTCAGGCTCTTTCCCAATGAGATGGCAGAATGGCTTCTTACAACTTCCAATCACATCCTTACTAGCAGAAAGGGATTTTCTCAGGACTATTTCTTGTTGGTCTAACCTGGTTACATGAACATCACTAAAACACTAGAGAAAGGGCATGGAATATTCTTACAACCCAGGCCTGGTACCTGTACTTATCTCTGGAGCTGGGGTGAGGTCAGCAGCTCTCAAATCTCATGGACTGAGAACTGGGGAGAGGTGGCTTCCCATGCAAGATATTTTCTGTTGGTCCCCTCAGATTTACTCTTCACCCTTTTCCCTCCTGATTTGAGCCTCAGGAAGCCCATGTGCATAGACGGCTTTAATGGGTGCCTCTGGCTTACAGTCACATTTATCCAATAGAAGACACTGGGAGGAGATCAGAGGGCTGGAGGAGGATAAAGGGTATTATTTCATAGACCCCTTCCCTTCTAGGTTACTGCAGGTAGGCTACATACATCTACTGGGGCTTCTGTCAAGTGACTCTCTTCATACAGGTCTCTCTCCTGGTTCTGATAAAGTCTCTTCTCTTGGCCTATAGGTGGTAATGGCTTCTCTCTGTTAGAAGCTCAGGATGTCATACCATCATTCCTTCTTGTTTCCCTTAACCCTGCCCACACATTTGGTTTTTTGTTTTTTAATTTTTTTCTTTATTGATTTTAGAGGAAAGGAGAGAGAGAGAGAGAGAGAGAGAGAGAGAGAGAGAGAGAGAGATGAAAGAGAACATCGACTGGCCGCCTCCTGCACGTCCTCCACTGGGGATTTGGCCCACAACCCGGGCATGTGCCCTGACCGAGAATCTAACCGACAACCTCTTAGTGCATGGGTCTGTGCTCAACCACTAAGCCACACTAGCCAGGCTGCCCACACATTTGTACATAACCTTTACCAAGCTCCCCTCAGATTAACCTTCGGAGGGAACCATGATGGTTACATTCATCAAAAGTAACTTAAGCTCCTATTACCAAAAGAAAGGGGAATAATAAAGAGCAAGCAACAGTAATGCGATAGTGATGCCGGTTTGGTAGAGCTATTATAATAATGCAGATGAGAGATGATAGTGGCTTGGACAATGGTCATAGGGGAGTAAGTGGTGAAAGATAGTATGATTCTGCCCTGGCCAGTTGCTCAGTGGTTAGAGCATCAGCCCTTGGACCAATGAGTCGTGGGTTTGATTCCAGTCAAGGGCATGTACCTCGGTTGCAGTTCACCCCTGACCCCAGTTGGGGTTGTGCGGGAGGCAACCAGTTGATGTGTCCCTCTCACATCGATGTTTCTCTTTCTCTCCCTTTCTCTCCCTCCCACTCTATCTAAAGATAAATAGAAAAATATCCTTGGGTGAGGATTAAAAAAAAAAAACGATAGTATGATTCTGGCTATGTTACCAAAGTTTACTGATGAATTATATGTAAGTTGTGAGCATTAGAGAGGAGTTGAGAAACATAGGTCTGGAGCCTGAATGAACTCAGTCCAGGCATAGTGATTTGGGAGAGAGGTGTGGTAGGTAGTTGAAATCATGGGCTCAGATGGGATGACCCAGGAAGAGCACGTGGAATGGAACACCGAGAGGGCAAAGGGCAGAATCCAAAACAGTATGAATCTTTACATGGTGGGCAGAGGAAGTTTCCATCTTGTGTCCATTAACCAGATTATGAAAAACTCGAGAACAAGAATGGAATCTTCCACATCTTTCCTCTTTACTACTGAGTCCAGCAAGGTGCCGGGTACACAATTTGTAATCCATGCTTGTTATGAATGAACTTTACACAGTTTCACATTTCATACCCTCCCTCCCTCTCCTTCTCATCAATGTGAGGTTTGAGTTTCAGGCAGAGAAAAAAAAGAGAGAGAAATTGATCCCTTGTGGCTTGATCCACTTCAAAGCTGTGCCAAGGCTGATAAGTGTTTTGCTGTCCTGGAAAACTCGAGTAGAGCCTGTCAGATGATGCTACAGATCTTGGGAAGCTCATCTCTTGTCTTTCAGAAGAATTTCCAGACAGGCGATTTCATTTCAGATTTTGTTGTTTGAGTAGATTTAAAAGTCAATTCCTTAAAGTGTCCATATTATATTTTGCTAGGAACGTAATAAAAGTGATCAAAGATGTCTATCTTACATTCATGCATTGCTGGCTGAATGTAAATGGAGATGACCGTTTTTGAAAACTGTTTTCCAGTTTATCAAGCTAAATGTACACCTACCCTACGACCCAGAAATTCTACTCCTAGATATATACTCAAGGGAAATTTAAGCAAATGTCCACCAAAAAAAAAAAAAGGTTTACACAAGAATGCTCTTGATTCATAATACTCCCAAACTGGAAATATCCCATGTGTCCATCAAATGAAGAATGGATAGCCCTGGCCATTTGGCTCAGTTGGTTAGGTGTTGTCCAGTGCACAGAAAGGTTGCCAGTTTGATTCCTGATCAGGACACATGCCTGGGTTTTTGGCTCAGTCCCCAAATAAGGGATGTGCAGGAGGCAGCTGATTGATGGTGTGCTCACACATCAATGTTTCTCTCTCTCCCTCTTCCTTCTTCCTCCTCTAAAAATTAATAAACTATTTTTAAAAGAATGGATAAATAAACTATGGTATATTCAAACAACGGAATACTACATAGCCTGGAAGGAGCTGCTCTTTAAATGGTGCAATCCTTGAATTTGTTAGGAGATATCATTTCCTGATTAATTTGAGTTGAAGATGGGTTGAGGAGAATAACAGCCAAATGACCAACCAGGAAGGAAGGGGTGCAGAGAATGCCAAGGAGACAACAGAACATTAAAAATGGGCAGCTGCGCCCTGGCCAGTTTGGCTCAGCGGTTAGAGCGTCGGCCCATGGTCCAGAGAGACCCAGGTTAGGTTCCCGCTAAGGGCATGTACCTCGGTTGCAGTTTGTCCCCGCCCCGGTTGGGGTTGTGTGGGTGGCAACCACTCAGTGTGTCTCTCTCACATTGATGTTTCTGTCTCTCCCTCTCACTCTATCTGAAGATGAATGCAAAAATGTCCTCAGGTGAGGATTAAAAAAAAAAGAAGAAGAATTGTTACTTATCCCTGGTCGGTTCGGCTCAGCAGTTAGAGCACTGACCGTTGGACCAAAGAGTTGAGGGTTTGATTCCAGTCAAGGGCAAGTACCTTGGTTATAGTTCGGTCCCTAGCCCTGGTCAGGGTCCTTCAGGAGGCAACCAATCAATGTGTCTCTCTTACCTCGATGTTTCTCTCTCCCCCCCTCCCACTCTATTTGAAGATAAATGGGAAAATATCCTCCGGTAAGGATTAAAAAAAAAGAAGAAGAAGAATTGTTACCTAGAGCCCTGACCGGTTTGGCTCAGCGGTTAGAGCGCCGGCCTGCGGTCCAGAGAGACCCGGGTTCGGTTCCCGCTAAGGGCACGTACCTCAGTTGCAGTTTGTCCCCGGCCCTGGCTGGTCGTGCGGGTGGCAGCCACTTGATGTGTCCCTTTCACATTGATGTTTCTCTCTCTCTTCCTCTTTCTCCCTTCTACTCTATCTTAACAAAAAAGTGGAAAAATGTCCTCGGGTGAGGATAAAAAAAAAAAAAATTGTTACCTAGATACATATAAAGTTATTAACTAGTAACTGAACAGGTAAAAGAACTCTGAGGGATAATGGGTAGCAACTGCAGAGAGCAGCTACCATTCCCAGGAGGAAAGGAACCAAAGAAGAGGTTGCAATTATTAAAACTTAAAAAGATAAAAGATATTCAGCCCTAAAAATGAATGAAGTATGGACACATGCTGCAGCTTGGATGAACTGTGAAACATTATCTGAGGTGAAAGAAGCCAGACACACAAGTCCACATAGCATATGATTCCATTCACACGAAAATCCAAAATATGGAACTCTGTAGAGACAGAAAGTAGACTAGTGGTTACCAGAGGGAGGGTGGGATGGGGGCTATAGGAAGGCGATAGCTAAAGGGTGTGGGGTTTCTTTTTTTTAAGAAATGTGGTGAAATAAAAGTTCTACTGGACAGCCCTGCTGTAGAAAGTATTAGCCAAATATAAGACTAAAACTCAACAGGTATCACATGGGTTGTTTTAAAATTAAATATCACTTCATAATTTTATTTGCACCTAGCACACACTTTTTTATGAAAAATAAGACATGCCATATTAGTCAAGAAGTTAACAAAATATAAGCATCCACGTAGAATATACTCTAAGGTAACTTCATTTACATAGCTTCTCAGAGAAACACACAGTAAATTCTTTTTGCTTATCAGCCAGTGTTGGACAGATTTAGAATTCACAAGGCTACAGGGAGGAGGTTCCCCAACACTACCCTGATGGATGACTTGTGTCCACACAGCACCACCAAGCTGGCTGGTTTCCCCCAGACAAGCAATGGAGATGTCAGTCTTCCCCTCCCTAACCAGCATCCGATTCCGTGCTGCAAAGCCCCCACAGGATCTGAAGCTTAATGGGATGGCATCATCAGACCGAGTGCTTCATGGAGGGGTTAAGGGAAGGGGGCGGTAAACTTCTGTCAAAACCCACAGGTACCAGTCTGCAAAGAACTGGTTCTAATCTCTGATTGGGGTATTGAGAATCCTAGTCTCTAGACCAAGGGACCGAGGGGTGGGGAGAGGAAGACCACATGGAACAACTGAAAAGTTCAAACCCAAGTTTAACTTCATGGCTGCTAGAAAGGAGAGAGAAGCGTGATATTTACTGTTGCTTGGAACATTCAAGAGGGCTTGGGAATATCAGAACCATGAAACAAATAAAGATTCAGGGTTGTAAGTAGAGAGTTAATGTCAGCCTCCCCTGAATAGCAACGAAACTGGATTTTAATTTCTCTTTTGTGGTTCTGTTCTTGCAGGATTGCAACTTGACCTTGAAAAGTGACATTTATTATCCCTTCAGACCCTTCCTGCATACTGCATAAGGCCTTCTTGCCAATCAGTGCTGATCCCACCATTCTCTTCCTCATGAACCATCAACGACTCCAACACCTTCTAGGATAACTTTAAAGCCCTCTGCCAGGCACTCAGGGCCCTCTATGATCCAACTTCCACTGCTTATTTTTCCAGGCTTATTTCCCACTACCTCCCTGGCTCTCTTTGTCATCTCTATTTCTGTGCTTTTGCAAATGCTAGCTTCTCAGCCTGGGGGGTGAGGGTGACCACCAGACCCAGGCTTTGCCCATAACTTAGCTAGATTTGCCACTCATCAATGAGTGGGGCCAAAATTACCTTCGTTTTAAATACCTTGTTCTGGGCTCAGAGCCTGACCTTCAGCAGCACCTCCATAACTGACATTTTCTGTGGTCCACTATTGTACTTGGTCTACCCTGCCAGTTTCCTGGTATTTGTGTCTCCCCCTGCTGGCCTGGAAGGCAGGAGCCATTCTTATTCTTTTGGCCCTTTCCATCCAAATGCTTAACAAATAGTAAATGCCTCACAAATATTGTTGCATTGACTTGATACCTATCCTAAAGGGAAAAAGGCCATTCGTTGTCTGCTGACCTTAGGCATGTAAGACACAATACAGAAGTGGTTAAAATACAATACAGAAATGGTTACCACAGGCAACAGAGGCAGTTTTTGAAGTCGAGGTACTAAATGAGTATTAAGCATAATCCATAAAGGTTAATGATCCATAAACACTGGTCTGTTAACACTGTTATCTTGCCTATTAGTTAAAGGCTGCAGAAGGAAGCAGTAAGTGTAGCTCTAAGTAGTAATCAATGAATGCAGAGATGCCTCTGATCCTATGGAGACTTTGTGAACTGCCGAATGAACCCCAGGGAGGTAACATGGAATGATAATTCCAACTTTCCAGTAGGAGTGTGTCAGCCCCTGGAGGTTATAAAGCAGATCATCTCTCCCAATTATTAGGCAATCAAGGTGTGTGATGCTCGGGCTACCTGCATCAGAATCACCTGTGCTGTAAGTTAAGCACGCACTCTTGGGCCCCACCCCAGTCCCACTTAATGGTTGGGGGTGTAGGAATCTGCATTTTAAATAAACTCCCCGGGGAATCCTTATGCTCATTAAGGTTTACAAACCTTTACTGGCCATTCTTGAAGATACAGAGTCAGACTAGGGAAGAAGGTATACAGCCAGAGAGACAGCAGCAGCCCCGTTTCTGAGAATGCTTGTGTCTCCTAGACTTGTCTAAGGGGATGAGGACCCAAATAGTTTCTAACTGACTCCAAGAAAATTAACCAATAACTCAAGCTTGGTTTGTCAATCTATAAGGAGAGAATGGAGGGGAGCGACGCTGTCTCTGAAATGAGCGCCCCCAACCTTCCCAGAGGGCACTGGTGTGCAGGAGAATACGTGTGAAGCAGCAGATTTTCTGTCTACGTGATGCAATCACCTCTTGTAAGATGGAAAGGGATTCTTTCTCAATTATGGCCAAAGTGTCAGCATCACTCTGCCCCTGTGCTTCTTCCCCTTCTCCTCTTAATTTCCCAGTTCCTCTGGGGGGAAAAAGCAATCAAGTCGTTCACAGAACCAAAACCAAATTAGTTTTCAGAGTAGATCCAATATAAACACGTCAAGCACATCTTCACTGGGAGGGCACAGGCAATGGGAAGTTTCCTGCAGGCGAATGACAGCATGGTGCACCCACAGCGGGCCCATGTGAAGGTGACACAAATGTTACCACAAATAGGGAGTCTCCAGTGAGGGGTAGAGATCAGGCCCGCACATGAGGTGGGGGAGGAGCAGACTTATTTGGAGAGGACAAGCAGAATCTCTGCCTGGCTTCAGCTCTGAAGAATGTGGCAACCTTTGGTCACTGTCTGAGGAAGCTCAGTGACCAACCTCAAGGATGATAAAGGCTTTTCAAAGCCTGGGCTAACCAGGCAGAGGCTGAATTCTGTCCCAACCACCTGGAACACTGCTTTCATCCTCTCCCCTCACCCCCAACAGCTGAAATTTCTAAGACCAAGACAACATATCCTCTGCCAGAGACAAAGCCTTTTCAAGATCCCCATCCAGATGCTGTCAGGAAGTGGGAATAATTGGTTTTAAAAAAGTAAGACTTGAAAGGCAAGTTTTAGAATTCAGAGTTGGACCACTGTCGGCATGGCTTGAGCAGTTCCCGGTGGAGGTGAAGGTGAGTCTTCTTCAGGGTGGGCTCATTCCTTCTTGGTGTGTTCCAGGACTCGGTAGGGAACCCCAGAGGCGCTTCTGGAGCCGTGTTCTTCTTGCATGACGGGCAGTGTAGCGGGAGCATAGATCTCAGAAATGTTGTCATTGTTTTCCAGGGCCCCGTAGGAAAAAGAAGCTTTGAGGTCGGGCTGGACTGCCATCCCCTTGTCATGCATGTTCTGCATACCTGAAATGAAATCCATTTTCCCCAAATCATTATGTGGTGAGGGGGCCAAAGGAGGATGAGCCGTCCTCTATCCCGCCACGGACTAATTACAGTGCTCAAGAGCTAATCATGTGCATTGTCAATTTCCTGAATGCTTCAGATTGAAAAAAAAAATCACCCATAAATATACAGAAGTATTATGGTTGCTAAGCAAGAAGGGATGCATCTTCAGGAAATATGCACACAGACCAGCCACTGTAAGAGAAACCACTGATTGGCCTTGAATGAGGTGGGAGTGTCTATTTGGGCTGGGGGGTGGGGTGGGGGGAGTGGACCCAGTGCTGTGCTTTGAACATGGTAGATGCCATCACTTTTCTGCTGAATGAAATCAGGATCTAGAAAACTTCATTATATTGTTGACAGAAGAGGGTACATTTTGTGTCATGGACCCCTCATGGTGACATTAGAGGGAGAGTTTCAACCTTAACATTAATATCCCAGATCCACATATAACGGGAAGGTGTGGTTTTGTTTATTACTTCTTGGCATGCTGATGTTGGATTTCTACTTACATTTGAGGAAATAGTTTAGTTATTAGTTCCTTTAACCTTATTCTACAACTCCCCTAGTCAGGTGGGACCTGGTCTTTTCTGAGGCCACCTCTTACCTTGTAGGGAATTAAGACCCTTCAAATTCTCTTGCCTCTGGGCTGGGTCACAAGAAATTGAATGCAAAGTGTTTTCTATGAAAATGTGATGATGAAAATAACAGCTAATATCTGACTGCTTAATAGGCCTTAGACAGCGGGCTAAGTGCTTTAAATAGTTAATAGTAACAACAACAACAATGATAATAGCTAATGTGTACTGAATGTTTAGTTGGTGCCAGACACTGTTCTAAACAGTTATAAAGTTTTATCTCATTTGATCCTTACAACCACCAGTGAGGAAAACGAGGCAGCAGAGGTCACAAAGCTATTATTGGCAGTGCCAGGATTCACACTCAGGCGGTTTAAACTCTGAAGCCCATATTCTTAACTGGAATGCTGTGTGGGCCACCCTATACACCTGCACTTAACCTCCAAAAATCCCATGGCAGAGATCTGCTACCATCCTCATTTTCTGGACAAGAAAACAGAATCAGAGAGCTAAAGTAACTTGCCCAAGATCACACAGCTGGGAGAGACAGAGCTGGGATCTGACTCCAAAGCCTGTGCTCTTATTCACTCTAAAAACGAGCTGGGAAGACCCAGTCTGTGGAAGGCCCTTGGCTCCCCCATTGACAAACCTTAGTTGATGATCATTTGAAGGATACAGTTTAAGAGTCTGTGATTTGAATTGGGGGGGGGGGGAGATGAGGGGATGCCTATTCCTCAGGGAAAAGTGCTGGCTCACCAGGCATAGTTTAGCTTTGGGATTTTGTCAATGCTCTCAGGCCCAAAACCACCAGGAACACACCTAGAGTCTGACAAGTTTGGCAATGAGGGAGATGGACACCATGGGGACCTGTGGGGTGTTTCAGTAAGAAGGTACTAGAAAGACTTATTATTTGGGTTTGCATTGGGTGATTTTGGAGAGGGTTTAAGGAAACAGGGCTCTGCTTTGGATTAGATGCTGTCAGGAAGTGGGAATAATTCTATAATGGAGGATCTTGATTCTGACCTAGGAGGAGAGGAGACCAGATCGAGGCTGGTGCTATGACTGGTAAAGAGCAGCGATCACTCGTGTTAGGGGAAGGTGGTCCTTTCTGTGGTTTGGACAATGCTCATGCATTGTCTGTGTTCAGACACGATGCTGGAGTGGTCCTGTTTGTGTCTTTTTTTTTTTAATCCTCACCAGAGGACATTTTTGCATTTATCTTCAGATAGAGTGGGAGGGAGAGAGGGGTGAAGAGAGAGAAACATCGATGTGAGAGAGATACATCGACTGGTCACCACCCACATGACCCCAACAGGGGCCAGGGACAAACTGCAACCGAGGTACATGCCTTTAGTGGGAGCCGAACCCAGGACTCTCTGGTCAGCGGGCCGATGCTCTAATCACTGAGCCAAACTCGCCAGGGCCTGTTTATGTCTTAAAGCATCAGGGCCACAGGGTGGCTTTGTCTGACGTGACGTTCTGTGAGCTTGTTTGTGTTCAGCCAGGGAACACCAAGGCCCAGCTCCCACCTATCAGGGAAAGCTTTTCTCTGTCTCATTCTTTACAAGTCTTTCAGGTGCTGGAATACGTAAAGCCTCTCCAAAGTGTGACGGGAAGTGAACCTTTGGGATTTCAATGCCTCTTGAACAATAGCTACTGGTCATGCTGTGAAGATACCAGTCTAGGTAGACCAAAAGCAAGGTTCTGAGGTTGACCAGGGAAGCCAAATAGCTGAAAAGCCATCCTGTTTAAGCAGGTTTTTTTTTTAAAGCAGTTTTATTCTTAAAGTTCTACCTGGCATCAGGTCAAACAAGTGTTTGAAATTTTCAAAGCTTGTTTTTTTTAAAGCAAAAGGGAAGTGAAACCAAATTTAACCAGGCATCTACCATGTCCCAGACACCGTGCAAGGGGGCCTTAGCATGATAGCCCACCACCCTGAAAGGAGTCCTAATTTACAAGTGAGGGTCAGAGTCCCTGGGAGGTCCAGGCCCAAGGTCACAGAGCAAGTAGGGGGCAGAGCTGGGATTTGAATCCAGATCACCTGAACTCTAAGCCCATGCTCTTCCTAGTACAGAACACTTCTCCACTCAGAAGTATCCGACATGCCACAGCAATCAGGCAGGGTCTCCCCTCTTCCACACCTGCTCCCACTGGTCACAGGATACAAAGAGGAAGCAAGAGCCACATCCACAAACAGGCCACAGAATGTTGATCTTTAGAATTACCTGAGGTTACCTTCTATTTTCTACCAGAAAATACATCTGTATGTGTGCATATACAAATACTTATATAGATGTAGACACATACACAGTTTATCAACACTGACACACAGGTACATACACATACTTGCACACACACAGGGTTGACACCTCACCTATCTGGAATTCAGCTATCCAGCGCCCTCATCTATCCGGAACACAGCCGAGAACAAGGAAGTAAGAAGCAAAAAAGGCATCTGAGCAGCCAGGTTAGATATTTAAAAAGTCCATGCACTCAAGCTCATGCTTAACTCCTAGGAGAAACCGTAAGGTCCCAAATCAGAGCTTATTTCTTTTAATTTTATACACAATTTGAACAAGTGGAGTCAAATAAGACTGAGACGGAGTTGCTGTGCTGGAATTGCAGGCTGGGAACGGCAAGAATGACAGACAACAGCTTAATAGCAAGAGATGAGGAAATCATATAAGAAGTAGACACACAAACCCTGGGGTCATTTGAGATGGGGGAAAGTCAGTCAGCCCTGAGAACACACCGAATACAAAGTTCTGTATTAAGTAGCACTCCATGCCATCAATGTGATTATATTTTGTTCATCAGACCGTCTTAGTGAAACGTGGGAGAGAATTCTATTTAATATATTGAAGATAAAAACTGTGCGTTAAAGAGTGAAAGCTAGTGGTCACTGGCAACTCATAGAATTTAGGTCAGTGAACCTTGATGGGGCTGGCCCAAATCCCTTCAGGCTGGACAGATACTCTCTAGTTCTCCACAGGCCCCACCACTCCCTTTTGTGCAGCACTTTGCTGATCCACACATTCACCTTAACTGTTAGGCCTTAAGGGCATTCGAGTTTGTGCTTCTCAGCATGAACCCTTAGCTCCCTGGGAAATGAGGCTTTCCAGAATAATCCACTCCTTTGTGGCCTAAGGAGTGAGGTTACAGTACTTGAATTTCATTCATCCCACTTTCCTTCTCCTCTCTGATCATTCCATTCCAATTAGACACATGGGCCTTTCCTTTTGATGCATGAAGCCTGGTGCTGATGAGAATTATTTATATCCACTGCGAATCAGGATTGTCGTTAAAAGCTCCCAAAATAGACATGGGAACTGGCAAGATGTGCTCAAAACCAACTGAGGCTCCTCAGCCATCGCCTCCTCTTTGCACACCAAGATTAAAAACAAGAGAGAGACAGTCACACCATAACGGCACAGCACACTTTCCCTGTACCAAACCCAGCGGCCGGTTGTTTCTTTTTACACAGGAAGTAGTAGCCATTCCATATGGATGAGCTGGCCAGCTGGAGACAAGGGATTTTAACATTACCTGGCATGGCATCCATGGAAATATAGGGCTCAAATGGAATGGACTTCTTCCTGTTCCGAGTGATTAAGAAGACGCCCAAGAATGCGATGAGGCACCTGAGGGGCAGAGAGATAAGAGAGGAAGAAGAATAAGGCCAGAGTGAGGTTGGGAGCGATTCTTTCAAACCTAGGTCATGGAAAAAAGGTAGAAAGAAGGGTTCAGGCTGCGGAAGGGGATGTTCACTGCCGAGCAGCCCTGAGAGGCTGCTGGGCCTGTGATCAGTGGGGAGCAGACGTGAGATGAATAATAACACTCCGCATAAGCTTTAATCAGAATAAATTAGACTCTTCCAGGCAAAACTCTCACAGTCCCTTCACTTCCACTTAGCCCATATCTCAGATCCTTGCCTTTAAAAATAATTATTTTAATTTAAAACATTTTTTTTTTTATCCTCACCTGAGGACATTTTTCCATTTTTTGTTCAGATAGAGTGGGAGAAGGAGGAGAGAGAGAGAAAGAGAGAGAGAGAGAGAAGGAGTGAAACATCGATGTGAAAGGGACACATCGAGTGGCTGCCACCCGCACGACCAACCAGGGCTGGGGACAAACTGCAACCTAGGTACGTGCCCTTAGCGAGAATCAAACCTGGGTCACTCTGGACTGCAGGTCGACGCTCTAACCGCTGAGCCAAACTGGCCAGGGCTAAAACATTCTTTATAGCTTAAATTTAATCAATATAGTAGAGAAAAGTCCCTCCAAGTCCCACTCCCCATGGTTGGTGTATATTCTTCCAGAGTCTTTTTTTTTTTTTTCTTTTCTCTAGAGCTTAGATAAACAAGCACACTTTCTAAAAACTGAGGTGTGATTTTTATGCAATAAAATGTACAAACCCTAAGTGTCGAGGTCCATGAATTTTATCTGTGTATACACACGTGTGATCACCACTGGGTTAACAGAGAAGACAATTCCGTCCCCTCCACTCCAGAAAGTGTCCTTAGGCCTCTTCTCAATTCATGCAACCCTTCCCCAGAGGAAGCCCACTTCGACTTCTCGCACCACAAATTCTGAACGTCTCGCAAGCTACATCATAGTGTGTATGACTCTTTTATGGCTAGCATTTTTCACCCAATAAATGTTTTTAAGTCTCAGCCACTTTATTGTGTATAGTAGTTCACTATTTTTAATTGTACTGAATCCATTGTCTGAATACACTACAATTTGTTTTTTTTACTCTCCTATTGACAGACATTTGGATTGTATCCAATGTGGACATATTATGAATCAAGCTACTATAAATATTCATGTGTAAGTCATTTTGTCAATAACTTCCTTTGGGAATATATCCAGAAGTGGAATTAAAAAAGAAGAGTAACTTTTTCCATTTAATGTATCCTAGACGTTGTTCTAGGTCCGTACCTATAGACTGGCCCTAATTTTTCAAAATGGCACCATGGCACTTTATCACATGAACATACCAACCTGTTTCTACTGCAGGGCATTTAAGTTGCTTCCAATTATTTCCTTATATCATTCATTTAAAAATTAGTAAGTAGCCTCATATATTTGTTTTTGTGTCCCATTTCAATTATTTCCCCAAGATAAATGATTAGAAATGAATGCTACATCAAAAATACGCTCATTTAAGATTTTGATTGATATGGCCAAATTGTCCTTTCTCACATTAAAGAACTTCTCACGGTCCCCTCATCCTCTTGCCAACATGGAATATTATCAATCCTATTAGTTTTTGCAAAATGATGGCATCTCATGTAGCTTCAATATACATTTCTTTGATCTGAGATCAGGCTGAAATGCCTTTCATGTGTTGAAATGTGAATTGTAGAAATGACAAGATTAAAGCCCCAAAGAGAAGAAAGGGGAAGGAAATAAAGCCTTGGGGGAGTCAAGTGCTCACCTCTGGGGACAAAGCTCCAGCCCCAGCTTCTCCACTGGCTCTCAAGGATTGCCTGAGAGGCTGAAGCAATAATGGGGAGAGAGGCAACCTGCCTGGAACTGTACACACAAGGCCCCGGGCCAGAGAGGAGGAAGGACTCACCCCAGCGCAAACATGCAGATGTGCAGTGCGTCCTCCCCGATGAAGTCCAGGTAAAATACTGCGCCTGCAGCAAAGAACAGAAAGCACGGGTGAGCTGTTTTCACATCACCTACTTGCCACTCTGTCTGAGACTTGGGGAAGCTCTCTTCCCTGCAGGAAACCAAACGATCAAGAAATATTATGACCGCACCTAGTAAAATATTAGAACAGAATAAAAGCCGTTTGAGGGAACAGATTGTCTGCTTTCTCCCCGTCCTGGGCTCCTCTTATTGCCATCCTTTTTAAACCTTTTACTTTGGGATAATACTAGGACTCACCAAAATAGTACAGGGTTCCCATGTTCCTTTTCCCCAGCTTCCCCCAGCGAAACAATACTAAACTACGACTGTATTTATCAGTTTTCACATACTCCTCTTCCCCATCTTTCTTCAGGCACTTAACCAAGCCCTCGGTTTCGGCTGTCAGCTTTCCGGTGCCAAGCCTGGGAGTGACGTGGCCTGCCCCTCTCACCCTGCAGCCAGCGTCTGTCTGGACTCGGGCTGCTTTCCTGGACTCCTGATTCCCTCTCCAACTTCTGACCCAACCATGGTGTTTGCTCTTCCTTTCAGCGTGGCTGGACCAACGTTCTTGACCATGACTTATCTTCACATTAGGTTAGCTTCTGGGCTGCTCTGGTTCAACGCCCCATTCAATCCCTGGTACTAGCAACACAGGCCCTGGCAAGCGTGTGCCCTGCTCGTTCCTACCTCTGTGAGTGGGGTTGGGGCACCGCTTGTCTAGTGTGCAGTGCAAAGCATATGGCTTCATGGCCAGGCCTCCCTTAAAGGCCAACACACTGGTTCTTCCTGGCCATTTTCACTCTGAAGAGTTTAGTTGCCACTGCCACTAGAAAACAAACTCTGACAGGCTTGCAGCCTCTAAAGCCACCTCAAGAAAAAAGAAATTAGGGGAGGAGTGGAGGAAAAGGGGAGTAAAATAATAATCATGATCACTGACTGAGTTCCTGTTGTGTTGCAGATGCTTCACATACTCATGATCTCCAAAATTCATATAAAAGAAGAGTGTGGTCACTTGCCCAGTGGAGGCTGTGGGGCTAGCAGATGATGGCGACAATTGTTCAAGAAACCTTGCACAGGCTCCGCAAAGTAGGGGATGTGTGGATTGTACACATTTCAGTTTCAGCAGGTAAGTGTTATTACTTCTATTTTATGAATGTAGAACTCAGGCACAGAAAGGTCAAGTGATTTGCCCAGAGCCAGACAGTTCTGTATCTGTGCTGGGATGCACACCCAGGTGTCCCTGGCTCTGAATGCTGCACTTTCTCCACAGGCAGAATGAGTCAGTGGAGTTGGCCTTCGGACCATGGTGGAGCCTCCTCCCTCCACACTGGGGTACTCTCCCTGCTGCAAAGGTAGAAGACAGAAAGCTAGCAACTGGCCACCCTTACCTGCTGTGATGGCGACGGTTGTAGAGAGAATGTAGCCCACACTGGCAATCAAAGAGGAGTCATATATCTGTGAGGCTTGACTCAAAAACCTGCAATACAAAAGCACTCTGGTCAGTGGGCTGCGGGGATGTCGGAAAGGCCGGGGTGAATGCTGATGACAGGAGCCCTGGTTTGAAATATGAAGATGACGCATCTTTGGGTTCACAAAGATGCCATCCTGTGTATCACTAGGTCTGAGGTCCGTGCTTTGCTCCTGTTCTTCCCGATACATAACCAGAGGCCCATCTCCATTTCCCAAGAGGGCCATTCCGGGTCTCACACCTTGACCACCTGGTTCTTGTCACCAGAAATGCCCCTCCCCTCACCTCTGTATCCCCTGAGTCCCCACCTCACTAAAAAGAACCATTCCTGGTTGCTTAAACACTCCAAGAAACTCTTATTTCACTTATGACATTGTCTTGTTAACAATTTTTTTAAACACATTTTCTTCTTAATTCAAAAATAATGTGATCACTGTAATATACAGGGGTGGGCAAAAGTAGATTTATAGTTGTGAGTATGCAAAACAGTTTATTCTTGTATTATAATCATAACTTGTTTCCATATGAACAACTGTTAACCTACTGTTGCCCACACCAGTATATAGGAAGAAGAGAGGGAAAACTGGAATTATTCCTAATCTCTCCATCTAGGATAAACAGTGCCATCATTTTAGAATATTCTTTGTTCTTTCTCTGTGCAGTATTTTACTTATCCTAGCTGCTTACACCATAAAATACGTTTTTGTTTTTGTTTTTTTTATCCTCACCCGAGGACATTTTTCCATTTTTTGTTCAGGTAGAGTGTGAGGGAGAGAGAGAGAGAAACATTGATGTGAAAGGAACACATCGAGTGGCTGCACCCGCACGACCAACCAGGCCGGGGACAAACTGCAACCAAGGTATGTGCCCTTAGTGGGAACCAAACCCAGGTCTCTCTGGACTGCAGTTCGATGCTCTAACCGCTGAGCCAAACCGGCCGGGGCTCCATAAAATACTTAAAAAAAAAAAATACATTTTTATTGATTTTTTAGAGGGGAAGAGATAGAAATATTGATCACCTGCCTCCTGCATGCCCCCTACTGGGGATTGAGCCTGCAACCTGAGCATGTGCCCTGACCGGGAATTGAACCGGGACCTCTCAGTCCATGGGACGATGCTCAGTCCTCTGAGCCACACTGGCCGGGCACCATAACATACTTTCCACTCAGTAATCGTATTTACCAGGCTGACCCCAGCAGGCTGTGAGCACCTTGAGGACAGACTGCTGCTCCTTGTCTGTGTGTGTGGAAGGCCCAGCACAGGCCTTGCACACAGTAGGCCCTCAGTGAATGTGGCTGACTGAGTGAGCGAGAAGCTCCCAGAGGTGGGCAGGGCATCCTTGTGACCCCTGGAGTGCCCCACACAGCCGTACAGCCTGACACCTGGCAGGGGCTCAGGGGTGATGACTAAGAACAGTAATACTCGACATAGTAATAATGACCATAAAAGAAGCTGATATTCACCCGACGTTATCCTGGGGGCCGCAGTGAGAGCTTTATGTGATTGTCTCAGGTAGGGACTGTTATGCTCATCTGCAGACAAAGAATCTGCAGGAGGGGAGGTGGTGGGGCACAGGGGCAAGGGCTGTGGGCTGGGAGGAGGATGCTTGAGTTCGAATCTCAGCTCCACCACCTCCTGGCCTTTTAACCTCACTTTGCTGTAGTTCCTCATTTGCAGAACGAGGATTGTATCATCTGCCTGAATGGGATGTTGTGGGGATGAAATGAATTCAAGTTCATGTGGAATCAATGCCCGGCTTACCCTGGGCATCAGTCACTCCAATGATCCCTCAAGGCCACGCTGGTGAACAGTGAGTCCAGGCCGCTGGAGTCTGGGCCTGGCCTGCCCAGCGTGAATCAGCGTCATGAATCACACTGAAACCTATGCAGTTCACCTTCCTGTCCCCACACATGATTGTCACATTCCCTTCCAGGCCCACTGCTGGGCACCAGACCTCAGAGGTAAACAAAGCCAGGCCTGCCCTCTGTACGGCTGCTTTGGACTTAATTCTTGTGCTTAGAGAAAGCAGCGATCACCTCGCTCTTCCACTTGGGCAGATCTGGGGCAATTTCTCGAGGACAAGAAATGACCACCTTTTGTTTTTCACCCAGCTGACAAACGGGTGCCTCACGGGAAGGCAGAGCTCGAGTCCCTGAGGAGGACACTGCCTGGGAGCAGATGGGAAGGGAGGCTGCCTCTGATCATGCATTTCTCACATTTGAGGCAGAGGGTCAAACGCATTCACTCCAGGCTTGTCTTTCAAGCGACAGAGCCCCTATGCCGGACAGCTCAGCAAATTAGCAGCCCTGCTCTCTCCACAGCAGGTGCCAAGCCCTGCGGTAGGCTGTGCCCGAATGCTCGGCCTTCCCTACCGCTTCAAAAGCAATGTAACGAGGCCCAGAAAATGGAAGAGCCCCGCGCGTGTCGAGGCCCAGCAGGAAAAGAACTTGCAACTCACGCAGCTTGATAGATGGCAGTGGCCACCATGCACACGAACATCACGTAGAAGATGGGGTAGTCGAGCTGCAGGTTCCCCTGGATGGACAAGACAAGCATCCCGGCCACGGCCTTCACTGTCACCACCGTCATTGAGCCTGCAGAGGGTGGACAGGCATGTTGGGGCCTCAGGAACATGGAGGGTGTCAGGCCCTGAAAGTCAGTTTCTCACCCCAAAGGGCCTGGTGAAAAGGATGGAGGGAACCCTGGCCCAGCCAACCCAGTGCTTCACAGGCCGAGAACTGCTGTTTGTCCAGGATCTCTGGGGCTTCTCCAAGGAGCTGCCCATTTGTGCTGCTACAGCAAAGAAGCGAGGAAAGTAAAGCCCTGGCAGGTATTTCCAAACGTCGCTTTTAAACGTTTAAGAGCAATGAGTTCAGGTCTCGGAACCCGAGTGGCAGCGCTGTGCCTGGAACCCCGTGGGAGGTCCAATCTTTGAATAGGTAAATGAACTTCTTTTGAGTATCATTCTCATGGCAACCACAGGAAAAACATGTCATGTGTAAAGAGCTGTAAAGAGCTCTTTTTTAAAAATCTCACTCAATTATATTTTTAAAAACGTCTTTGGACAGAGGTCCCCAAATGTTTGAAACCCTACCCCTCATGCACATGCTTTTCCAACAGACACGTGTTCGTGTTTTCTAAAGTCATGCAACACTGTGCTTCCATGCATGTACATTATAAAACGTGTGCAGAAAATACCATTTAAAAGGTGGAGATAAAAAGAAATTCTAATATGCTCTTCTCACACATCCGAAGCACCATCTCATCACAGCCCACGGCTGGTGCAGCAATGACTCCTAACTCTCCACCGTCAGATCTCCCTGCTACAGCGAGAGGTAAAGGAACCACCCCCAACTATGGTACAGAGCCCCTATTCAGGCTGAAATGCTCTGCTTTCCTACTTTTCTCAGCCTCTGCTCATTTTGCTTCTCCTGCCAACAGCCCATCACACTCGCGGCCTCTGGGCCCCTCGGCTCCAGACTGGTTTTCAAACATCAGTAGCCAGTTAAGACAAGCACCTTCATCAGGCTGTCCTTGTTAGTGAGAATGGGACAGGAGGGGAGTGGCCAGCGGGCCTCGGAACCTTCTGGCCTTCCTACTCAGCAGGGGAAAACGTCCTGGGACTGTGATCTTCCGATCCACTTTTAAAACAAAATCCCCAGGGGATGGACCACCAACATGTTACAACATGGATGGACCTCTAACAGGTCATGCTCGGTGAAAGAAGCCAGAGGGTATGATTCCATGCATGTGATAACCCAGAAAGGCAAATCCAGAGAGACAGAAGGTAGGCCAGTGGTTAGCCAGAGGCTGGGAGGAAGGGTCTCAGGGATTGGCTGCTGATGAGCACAGGGTTTCTTTCTGGGTGACAAAATGTTCTGAAATTTTATTATGACAGTTGCATAACTCTGGGAACACACGAAAACCCACTGAATTATATACTTTAAAGAGGCAAACTTTGGTATGTGAATTATGTCTCAATAAAGCTGTTTTTAGAAAAATCAAAATAATCAGCCCTGACATACGGTGACACCTCTCTGTGTCACTGGAGTGGGGGCTCGCTCGGGGAAGGACAGGAGAGAAACAGCATGTATCAGGCACTCGTGCTCATCGCCCCGAATCCCCCTCCCACCCCGAGATCTGGGTGTTCTCTTCCGCCCACTGTCAGAGGACAGCGCAGCTTCCACGGGCAGAGCAACCCCCTTCTGCTTCCCCGGGAAGAACAGAAGCTCCAGTTAGTGATCGAACACTCTGCGGGGTGAGAGCCTGGCCCCCACCTGGTTTGTGAACCCTCCATTGCACCCATCCCTCTAAAAGGAAAGGAAAAAAAAAAGAGAGAGTAAAATCAGTTCTTGCTTTTGAATCCAGAATTACTTCCCAAGCTCTGATTGGTTTTACGTGGACCCTTAAGGACTCAATTGTTGAAACTTGCCCCACTTCTGACTTGTCTGAAATAACCTCTTAACCCTCCTCACCCTTACTCTGTGCTTTCTTCACTGCAGTTGTCACCACCTGAGTGTGTGTTATGAGTCTGTCCCCTTGTTTTAGAATGAATGGAGGCCCCCGGGCTTGGTCTGTCCTGTGCATCGTGTAGCCAGGTTCCAGCACATTCCCGGCACTCAGGAGCCTCAGCATTTGAACACGGCTGAACGCAGCCAGCAGTGCTGGGATGCACGGAGCTGCCTCCAGCCAGCAGGGACCTTCTGGTGCTCCTTGGGGATGGAGGGACTCAATCACCCAGACCCCCACTTACCGAGTAATGCCACCAAGAGAAGAATCACAACGATGTTGTTGGCATTCTTCTCCTTGTAGAAGTACAGCAGCAAGCAGAACAGAATGATCTCCACAAGCTATGGAAAGCAGCGAGGAGGAGTCAGTGGGGACCACAGAGCTAGGCAAGACCGGGAGACCCTGCTGGGCTGGCTGGAGGTTATGCTGCTGACTTCATCAGTCACAGACCCTCAGAGGTGAAAGGGCCTGGACACACCCAGCATTCCCCGCACTACTGATAGAACCCTGTAGACAAGGAGGGATCACTGAGTGAAACTCTCAAACCACTGGACAACACGGGGAAGGAGTCTGCTTCATGGCTGAGCTTTGAGGCCGAGGGGCTGGCCCCACATCCACCTTGTGTTGGATGGACAAGAGTCATTAGCTGAGATCGTCTCTTCCCACTTCACAGCTCCATGGGTAACCCCTCTAAAACTAGGGGGTGATCAGAGAGGGAGATACTTGTTCATGGAGAAGAGCTCTATGATGAAGTAGACAAGTACACACACTCCCTGCCCCCAGCCAAGCCTCCAATGTGTGCGGCTTAGAAGAGCAGAAAGACGAGGATGTGAGGCAGGGAGGCCCAGGTTCGAACTGGGATCTGCTTTTAAACTAGTTGTGTGACCTTGGGCAAGTCATTTAACTTCTCTAAACCCCGTTGCCTTGTCTCAAAAATAGGAATAATCAAATTCTTACCTTATAGGGCCATAATTGCAGCTTACACTTCGTGAACACATAAATAAGCCACGTACTATTCTGAGCATTTATCTATACTCAAGTAATTAAACCACCACAACAATTCTATGAAGTGGGTACTGTCACAATCCCAAGCTTGTAAATGGCAGAGCCAGGATTTGAACCTGGACAGTCTGGCTCCAGGGCCCATGTGCTTTACCTTCAGGCGACACTGCCTGCAGACAGGAGGCCGTGTGCCCGGCATTTATGGACTCTTACTATTAGACAATGGCAAACCTACAGTTTGAGAAGTTCCCCCGTCTTAGATCAACAACCTGTCCTTTCTACTCCTTAAAGGCTCAGACACTGGCACTACTCCAAGAAGTGAAGCCAGCCCCGCACTCAGCAAAAACAAAGCAGACAAATCCGACAACGGTTCCGCTTCATTCGCCTACCCCAACCTCCTCCCAGAGTTTATCTATTATAAACCGATGCAGAAACAATGGCCGTTTTGAAGAGAAAACTTTAAAAAATTCCTCCTAATGAGAGACCACAAAACACAGCTGTTTTCCTTTTCCGGTTTCTTCCTGTTTTTGTTGTAGTGAATACATATTTTATCTACTTGTCACTGTAGTCAATGCAGTGTTGTGCTGGGCTGCTTTGAGTGACCGTAAACAGTTTTCATGTTTTAGGAAGTTGTCTTAATTATCTCTAATAGCTGCAGGATAGTCCATCAAGCAGATGGAGAGTTAAACATTCACAACCATCATGCGGGTGTCCAGGGGGCCCACTTTTCCAGCCATTCTTCATGATGCCTAAGTGCAAGCTGCAGCACACTTGGGGTTCTCTTGTGAGATGCCTGTGTGTGAGCTGATGCCTCCTGATAGACCATGAGTTCTGTGAGTCTCCTTTTTTTTTTAATCCATAGTGTCTGGCACACAGCAGACACAGAAATATTCATTGAATTTTATTTGGCCAAATCTCTCCAGCTGGCAGCACTGTCTCAGTCATAATGAAAGAAGATCTGCTGACTTGGTCACCGAGCACCTGCCAAGTGCTGGGTGGTTTCCACACCACCTTGTATCTGCCAACAACCAGCCCAGGCCCAGTGACTCCCACCAGTTTTGAGGAGGACGGAGAGCTTCCTTCTGGTTAAGTGACTTGTCCAAGGTCACACAGCACATCACGGATTCGAGCCTGTGTTCAGGGGAATCCTTTTCCTAAAGATCTGGTGTTTGGCTTTGTCCTGCACACAGTCCTCGACGCCCACCAGGTCAACGCTGGGCTGGTGGGCGGTGGGGAGATGACACAGCCCGCACTTGGGGAACTCTTCCGTCTGCCTTGTGGGCACGCGGAGGGAAAGGGCTGTTCTGAGGCCTCTAGAGCAGTCCCAGGCTGCGCATGTCAGGGGAGCACAGTGAACAACTGCAGTAGTGGGCCGCGGTGGAGAACGGTGGCACATGGGGCCAGGCAGGCCTGGCTTTAAGTCCAGCTCTGCTGTCCTGGGACTCAGAACAAGTTAGCTAACCTCCCTGAGCTCCGGTTTTCTCATCCAGAAAATGGAGAGAAAACCACTTACTTCCTAGGGTTGTTGAGAAAATCTGAGATAATACATAAAAAAGTGTTTAGTACAGTGCCGGGCAATGAACAGAGATGTACCATGAGCTTTGGCAAACACCTTCGATGTTTTCCTTGATTAGTTTATTTGCAGACCTAACACAGGATGTAACTGGGGCACAGAGAGGACTAAGCTCTGGCTGGGCGTCCAGGAGACAAAGTTTCTGGTGTCAGCCGTGTTTCTATCAGCTGTGTGATATTGGGCAAAAATAAGTCAGTAATATTTTATAATTGTTTAAAATTTTAACTTTTCTCCTTACCATGAAAGTGTTAAATGCTCCCTGTAGAAATTTTGGATGATACATATGTAAAGATGAAGACAAAATAAAGACTCAGTCATAATTCTATCTCCTAGAGACAACTACTGATGGAATGTGTTTTTCCCTCTTGTCTTTTATAGATACATTAGATGTACATACCCTACAAGTATCTCTAAAAAATAAAGTTATCACACTATATATGCAGTTCAGACACTCCTCAGGACCTAAGTGAAGAAAGCATCTTCCCGTGAACTATGTACCCTCCCCAAGCAGGGTCTTCAGGGCTATGAAATACGTCACGATTCACGCAAATCCCCTTTTGCTGGGCACTCAGGTTTCTGGTTTCTAAGACCGGAGTCCCCCTCCCAACATCTCAGGTGGAAGGCCCAGAGGCTTCTCTTACCATGTACAAGAGAAAAGGCCAGCTCACGAGGTGCCTGGTGATATTCTCGCCGGTCATCTTCTCGTGACTGTTGGGTGCGAATGTCACCAGCAAGTACGTGCCCACAATGGCCAAACCACAGCCGACAAAGGACAAGACGTAGCGCCCTGCAGGGAAGGGGAGGTTGTCGCAGGCTCACCGCAGGCACAGGCCTCAGGCCAGTGCTTCTGCGGCAACACAACTGACCCGTATTGTCTGTATTTTCAGTTTTTCTTTATTTAAAAAAATAGGTGGTCTTTTTTTAATGTTATTTTTTAATGAGGTGTACTATGCATACAAAAAGTGCTCGATGAATTCTCACAAAATGAACACATCCATGTAACCAGCCCCCAGATCAAGAAAGAGAGCATGGCAGGACCCCTAAATCCAAACTTGTGTCCCCTGCCAATCACTAGGCCCCCACCCCCAGGGTAACACTTTGACTTCTACCAGCACTGAGGGTTTGCCTGGTTTGTCCTTCACATAAACGATTCGTATGGCATGTTCTCTTGTGTATGTGCTCACACGAGGTGATGTTTGTGAGAATCATTGGTGTTGTACGTGTGGCGGTAATTCCTTCGTTCTCACCGCTGTGTGTCCACGGCGTGAACAGACACAGTTGATCCATTCTGCTGGTGATGGGCATTTACATAATCTCCAGTTTGGGGTTATAACAAATAATGTTACCATGAACACCACTGTACATGTCATTTGGAAAACAAGCCCTGGCCAGTTTGGCTCAGCGGTTAGAGCGTTGGCCTACGGTCCAGAGAGAAAACAACACCTGTGCATTTCCGTTGGGTACACACCTAGGGGTGGAATTCCTGGATGTGTGGATGGACAGCAGTTACTGTCCAGTGGTTTCCCAAAGTGGCTGAACCAACTTACACTCCCACCAGCAGGGTATGAGAGCAGAACTACCTATTTTTTCTTCTTCTTTGAGCCATTCTGGTGTTGCACTGTGATTTTTCTTTTTATCCTCACCAGAGGACATTTTTCCATATTTTGTTCAGATAGAGTAGGAGGGAGAGAGAGGAAGAGAGAGAAAGAGAGAAACATCGACATGAAAGGGACACATCGAGTGGCTGCCACCCGCACGACCAACCAGGGCCGGGGACAAACTGCAACCGAGGTACGTGCCCTTAGCGGGAACCGAACCCGGGTCTCTCAGGACCGCAGGCCGACGCTCTAACCGCTGAGCCAAACCAGCCTGAGCCAAAGCCAGGGCTGCACTGTGATTTTAACATGCATTTTACAGGGGATATTTTGAAGCTAGAATCACTTTATGGGCACGATAAAAAAACAAAAAAACAAAAACCTCAAAAAGCAAACCTTTAGAGCCAACCATGTACTTTTAAAAATTATCTCATCCTTTCCCAACTGGCTTTTTAACCCACTCCCAAGGGAACCGTCTAAATACTACTGCTGTTCTACTGCACAGGCCTGTCAGAGACTGCAGCGGCCCAGCAGGCGTGCTCCTGCGTAAAGGACAGTCTCCTGACTGCCCCGCATCGAGCCACTAACCACTGCACCCTGTGGAGCTGGTGACTGGCCCAGGCCCAGGCGAGTGCAAAAGGGCTGTGAGCTCTGAGCCGCACAGTGGTGACCACAGGCCTCTGGGTTTCTCCGTGCTAGAACTAACTATACCTATTCATTTCACTGTCTCCAGAAAATGTGATACCGCATTAAATGTCTTTTCATTCTAGGCCTTATAAGGTGCTCAACAATCCAGCTGTTCAATTGTTCAACAAATGAGCGAACCATGGTCAAACTCAACAGAGTAAATTCTCTGCTGAGATCCACAAGCCTGTGGTCTAAGTTTCCTTCAGGCAGGGGCAGGTCTTACTCATCCCAACAGTAGATGTTCAGTAAATATTGACTGCGCCCTGGCCGGTTTGGCTCAGCGGTTAGAGCGTCGCCTGCGGTCCAGAGAGACCAGGGTTCAGTTCCCGCAAAGGGCATGTACCTTGGTTGCAGTTTGTCCCCGGCCCTGGTTGGGTCGTGTGGGTGGCAACCGCTCGATGTGTCCCTTTCACGTCGATGTTTCTCTCTCTCTCTCTCCCTCCCACTCTATCTGAACAAAATATTGAAAAATATTTTATCCTCGGGTGAGGATAAAAAATAAATAAATAAACATTGACTGCTTTGGGAAGCACTGATGTAAAAACAAACCCAGCTCTCCTGATGAGAGTGGGATACAGAACTGTACTGCAGAACAGGTAACAGATGATCTCCACCTTGGGGTAAGCTGGTTTTATGAGAAAAATACAAGCACAGAATTAAGAACAGGGCTCATCAAATCAGTGAACTTACTCAGAAAGTCTTTAGGTTTCCATTTTTCTTTGATGAATATGATTCCGATGATGGCGCTAGCTATATTTAAAAAAAAAAAAAAAGCACAGGAGAAAGAGAATTGAGGCTGTCATAGTCCAAAGGAGTCCCTCCGCCCACGTACTCTGGGTTGGCTCATCTGTGCTAGAGCTTGGTTCACCCTATCCTCTCGCTCCTGCTCCCAAGAGCTCAGTCCCTTCTGGTTTCTGTTATTCCATCTCGGAAAGGGCTCCTCTCGGAGCCTTCCTGAGGATTTCCCACAAGACCAAGAGCACTGTGTGCTGAGTGCTTGCTGGGTGACAGGAAATGCACTCAAGTTATTTCTGGGATGTTCCCCTTTGAGGTGGGTGCTATCCCGATTCCCATTTGAAAAATGGGGACACAGAGGCTAAGAGAGGTGAAGGGCCCACTCAAGATCATGCAGCTGGTCAGCGAAGGCTCGACTTGAACCCAGGACTGTCGGAGGCCAGGGTCTTGCTCCTTGCACTGCAATGTCTACTTCCGGTTTTTAGTTGGGATCTTGTGTCTCCCCGACTTTCCACATCTGCAGGTGTACTCAAATTTCCTGTGACTGCCCTCAGCGATGGGGCTGGCGCTCCCTGGGAACAGACCTGGATTACAGCGCAGCTCTGCCTCTCCTGGCTGTGTGTCCTGGGGAAAGTCAGCTCACCTTGGGCTCAGTTCCCCAGCTATGAAATAGTGCGCTGGGTCCAGCTTGCACCAGCTGTGATGGTTAACATTCAGGAAACTGTTGGTAGCTTGAAAACAGCCACAGTGGGATGTTTACACCACACAAATCAGAAAAGGTCTTCCTTTTCTCCCCTCCCACTTTCCCCTCCTTCCCTCCCTCCCCCCACCTTTCTCTCTCTCTATCTCTCTCTCTCTCTCTCTCTCGGTTGACTTATCAGCACACCACTGAGTAATAGGGGCAAACCAATGAGATAATATATGTAAATTATTTGTCACAAAGTAAATGCTCAAAAACTGGGCTATAACAATTATTAAAGTACAGAACAGTGAGTGATAAGTACTAAGTACGAATGAATGGTGGTTATTATTATTTTTAATGTTATTTCTCACTGGGTGACTTGAGAAGCTGTAACAACCTCTTCATTTCCAGTGGCTGATACTTGAAGTCCTGTCATTATAATTCAGCCCCTTGTTTTGAAAAATTTGATAACTTGGTTTTTACTAAAATCCAAAGACTAATATGTAATACTAGTTATTACATATTACATATTACATATTACATATTACATATTATAATATGGTTACTCTGCCACTTACTCCTCATTGTGAATAAAGTCCTGAGAGCCCTTTAGCGAGACCAGCAATGGGCAGAGGACAAATCTAAACAACTACAGGGGCTGGGCAATAACCCAAGTGCAGGAAGTGGGCCAGACATAAGACAATAGGGAAAGGTTGGGACTATGGCCAACCACCTGCCTCAACTAAAGGCATTCATACTATACTTCATAAAAACACTGTGTGGGGAAGAACATGTTTGAGGACCTCCTTCATCTTGCGGGCTGCCAGTTTATAAACCCTGGTTAAGAAAATGAGGGCCTTATCATAGGGTCAGCGAAAGCAAACAGGTTTCTGCTCCTTCGCCAGCTCCTGGCCCCCGGCGGTGGCTGCCTGAAGCTCTGAGGATTCCGAGGGCCCATGGAGGCTTGCTAGAGAGGAATGCAACGATTATTAATGACTCTGCCTTGGGCATCTGAGGGGCATGTAGTTGCCAGGCAGACGTCATCCCTGGTGTAGAAGAGGCTCTCTTTTTTTTTTTTTTTATCCTCACCCGAGGATATTTTTCCATTTTTTGTACAGATAGAATGGGAGGGAGAGAGGAAGGGAGAGAGAGAGAGAAACATCGATGTGAAGGGACACATCGAGGGGCTGCCACCCGCACGACCAACCAGGGCCGGGGACAAACTGCAACCGAAGTACGTGCCCTTAGCGGGAACCGAACCCGGGTCTCTCCGGACCGCAGGCCGACGCTCTAACCGCTGAGCCAAACCGGCCGGGGCAGAAGAGGCTCTCTTAATTCCAGGCAGAATTAGATTCAGATATGACACTCCTTTCGGAGCAAGAAAGAATTTCTAGGCAACCCTGGCTGGTTTGGCTCAGCGGTTAGAGCGTTGGCCCGCGGACCAGAGAGACCCGGGTTCGGTTCCCGCTAAGGGCACGTAACTCAGTTGCAGTTGGTCCCCGGCTGTGGTTGGGGTCGTGTGGGTGGCAGCCAGTTGATGTTTCTCTCTCTCTCTTCCTCCTTCTCTCCCTCCTGGCTCTATTTGAAGAAAATGCAAAAAAAAAAAAAAGAGTTTCTAGGCAGAGTACTGGTTGCCAGCAAGTTAGAAGGAAACATTTCAAATCAAGTTCATTGTCCTTGCACCTCTGCACAAACAGTGATTGATCAGTAACCTATGAACATCTTTTACTTACGAAGAAGAGAATTATTTTCTAATTCTATTTTCTTTGTGACCTTACAGACTTTAAAGCTCCTTTGTCTTTTAGTTGGTTCAAATGTTGAGACACTGGGTCAGTGATTACAGAAGTCATAGAAAAATGGCAGATGAAAAAGTTGATGTTTTCTTTTTTCTTAAAACCTTACTCAAGGATATTTTTCCATTTATCTTCAGATAGAGTGGGAAGGACAGAGAGAAAGAAACCTTGATATGAGAGAGACACATGGATTGGCTGCCTCCTGCATGACCTCTACCAGGGCCGGGACCGAACTGCAACCCAGGTACGTGCCCTTGACCAGAATTGAACCCGTGACTCTTTGGTCTGAGAACCGACACTAACCAATGAGCCAAACTGGACAGGGCACAGTTGATGTTTTTAAAGTGATATCAGTTGATGTAAAAAGATCAGAGAATAAGCTGTATTTCTTAGAGGCGTGAGATATCTGAACGCTATGAAAGTTTAGGTTATCTTGACAGTGTCAGGATGAATGGGTTCAGGAAGGTTTGTTCCTTCTGCAGTAGAAATAAAAAGCAGCTCTGATAAACTTCCTGAATCTTAAACAGATTCTGGAGCCAGACAGCCCAGTTCGTATCTCAGCCCTGCTCCTCATGAGCTGTGTGATTTGGGGGACGTAACCTCACCCTTCTGTGCCTCAGTGTCCTCATCTGTAAAGTGGGGATAAGAACAGCATCTCCCTCGAAAGGCTGCCGGGAGGACTAGAAGTGATATCTGTAAAGGGGTTACAGGAGTACCTGGTGTATAAAGCCCTTTGTAAGTGCCCGCTGTATTACTGAGGCAACAGCTGGTATGTGGAATGAGTATCTTTGATCCTGGAGGTGATACTGTGGTCACACAGGCATCTGAACCCCCGGGGAGGGTGGGGGAACCCTGGTCTCACCTATCACGGAGACGGCGCTGAGGGGCACGATCAGTGAGAGCGGAGCGAAGGCGTAGGAGGCAAACACGCCGAGCTCGCCCAGCAGCATCAGGAACAGGCCCAGCCACCATGTCTTGGTCTTGAAGTAGGCCCTCGGGTCCTTGGTGCCTGCCAGCCGGATGTGGCAGTACTTCTATAACAAGAAGTAAAGCAGTAGCGATCTAAGTACTAAATTCTTAGTTATTCTAAGACAGTAGTTCTCAAATTGGCTGGGAAGCCTTAACAGTTCCCTGGGAAGGTTTGAAAAAATACCCGTGGAGGTGCAGGTGAAGCCTGGAAACGTGTGCAGCCGGGGTGGGAGCCATGGTCCAAGGACCCCACTTCAGCCCGGCCTCAGGTTGACCTTCCTCTGACTGCAATGCCCAGGCGACACTGTCTTCTGTAGCAGTGTCAGCAGCCCTGTGGGTATCAGCGGACCCTGCCCTCCCCTGGGTGGATACTTGGCCCAAGTACAGCCAATATCCTTTACTCTGGAAAGGTGAACTTGGGACATAGAAACCGGGGCAGTGACTAAGGAAAGCTGGGGGGTCATGTTGACTTGGAGGCCAAGGCTGCCTTGTGGGGAGGGTCATGATGGGGGCTGCAAAGAAGCAGACGTGGAAGCAGAGAGGCTGGTCTGTAAAAAGAAGAGCATGAACCAAACACAGATAAGAGACCACGTGGCCTCAGAAACACACAGAAACACGCCCACACATGTGAGCATGGGAGCCGAGATGTACAAGTGTTTACATGTCACCCCCAGGGACAGGGAGCTGGCCACCTGCTGTGGGATTGTTCTGTCTGCAGGTGTTAAGTCTTAGTGTGCGTTTCCCAGAAGCAGTCCCTAAAACAGGATCTTGGAAGCAGGTAGTTGATTTGGGAGGTGATTCCAGGAAGCACAAGAGAGTGGAAGTGAGACAGGGAAAGGGAAGAGCCAATGAGGAGTATATTCAAGGGTGAGCTAGTGTCTTAAGCAAGTGGGACTCAGTCCCACAGGGGACCCTCCCAGAACCCTGTGAACTCACCTGAGGATGGAAGCCTGGGGTGTTGATCCACTGACTCCCATCCCCCACTGGTTAAAGGCTGCCCTCAGAGTCATTAACTACCACCACACTACCTAATACATACACCAAGCTTCCCAGTTACCTCTGCATGCCAAGGGTTTTTGAGTAATGGAGAGTGCTGTCATTAGAGTGGAGGAGTGATGGGTGGATGAGGTTGGGGCAAAGAATCAAATGATTCTGGAAAGACCCACAGGGTAATGTCCTAGGCGCACCCCAGGGATGGAGTGGGCACCATCCCACAGAGCAAAGGCAGCTGGGCCTGCACCAGACACCCTGGCTTATCTGGCTGTATCTCTGCCCCAGACAGTGCTGGTGACTGAAACTTACCTGGAGGTTAAGTGCAATGCTGACCACAAGGTGCCCAAAAATCGCCAAGAGGGCGCCAATCAAGTTTTCCTGTAAAGAAAGTTCACAGAAGCAGATGTGAGCTGGGCGGAAGCTAAGGGCCCCAGGACACATTTCCCAACTCTCTGCTGTCCCAGAGCAAAACTAGAAAAACATCCATCACCACACCCCAGACCCTCTACTGGAGTTTTACTACCCAAGATTAATCTGGCTGCATTGCTGGTTTACAAATCACTGCCCAAAATTATTTACTTCCAGAAAGCACAATCTTTTGCAGGTCAAAGGATGCTATTCCCCTTAATGTACTGACTTGCCATGGTCTTGAGCGGAAAAGCAACATTCAGAAATCAGAATCTACAAGAGAAACACAGGCAGGGCTACTATATGCTATTTTATCCATGGAATCTTTATGTTACCAGAGGGGTTTCTCTCTCTCTTTTTAAAAATATGTTTTTAATTTATCTTTTAGAGAGAGAGGAAGGGAGAGATAGAAACATCGATGAGAGAGAGAAACATCGATGAGAGAGAGAAACATCGATGGGTTCCCTCCTGCACGCCCCCTACTGGGGCTCATGCTCACAACCCGGGCATGTGCCCTGAGTGGGAATTAAACTGGGACCTCTCAGTCCATGGGACAATGCTTAATCCACTGAGCCACACCAGCCGGGCCCCAGAAGGGTTTCAATGAGACTCTTTTAACTAAGCAATGAGACTCTTGCTTAAGGCATTTAAAATTATTTAATTTATATCAATTTATTTTCCATTACCATAAGAATAAGGTTCAGGCATTTTTTAACTTTAAAAAACATTACCAAACATATATTCATTGCAGCATAATTAGGAAATCCAGATTAAATGAAAAGAACAACAATAACAACAAAATAGAAAAACGACCTGTAATTCTAAAACCCAGAGATAATTACTGCAAACATTTTGGTTCTTGATCTTTTAAACTTTTTTCTGTCCATAAATTTAGATATACATGGCAATGTTAATTTCTTTTTTCAAAATAAGATGATAATAAATGGCGAGGAAAGGAGACTTGATGTAGGGTGGTAAACACACAATACAATATATAGATGATGCACTGTAGAATTGTATACCTGAAACCTTTATAATTTTATTAACCAAAGTCACCCCTATAAATTCAATTAAAAAATAAGATTACATACACTCTATTTTATAACCCAATTTCTTAAAATATTATAAATACATGACCCTATCAGGCATATTTAATCATTTTTAATAAATGTCAAATAACTCATTGCTTGGATGTGGCATATTTTATATCATTGCTTCTCTATTATTGGATACATAGAAACAAAGGAAGGAAAGAAAAAGAAAGATCAATTTATACCTATGCTTCCTTCTAAGAGTTTTTTCATTTTAGCTCTTACATTAAGGTCTTTGATTTATTTTGAGTTAATTTTTGTACATAATGTGAGGAAAGAAGCCAACTCCCTTCTTTTTTTTTTATCCTCACCCGAGGACATTTTTCTATTTGTCTTCAGGTAGAGAGAGAGGGAGAGAAAAGGAGAGAGAGAGAAACATCAATGTGAGAGGGACACATAGACTGGCTGCCTCCCGCATGACCCTGACCAGGGCCAGGGACGAACTGCAACTAAGGTACATGCCCTTGGCTGGAATCGAACCCAGGACTCACTGGTCCGAAGGCCAACGCTCTACCACTGAGCTAAACCAGCCAGGGCAACAACTTCCTTTTTTTTAACATGTGGCTATCTAGCTGTCCCAGCATCATTTGTTGAAAAGACTATTCTTTCCCCACTGAGTGGTTTTACACCCTTGTAAAAAATCAATTAACTTAGATGTATATGTCAACCACAGATGTACAGGCTTAAATGTGGACTCTGTGTGGATGTGTATGTCTATCCTATGCTAATACCACATTGTTTTGATTACTGTAACATTGTAGTAATTTTTTAAATCAAGAAGTTGAAACTGACAGTTTAAAAGGATTCAATCACCATATTCTCGTCTCCTTCTATGCTCTTTACTGGTTTCCTGCATGGCTTCTTTGTCACCTTTGACAATAGCCCTTTCCCACTTAGTCAAATAAAGGCCTGCCCTTCGTTCATGTAGATTCTTACTCTGGTACACTGACTCAAGTGTAAAACTATCAAGAAAACAAGGGCGGTTTTGAAATATTGTTTCCCAGGAGGTTTCTTTAGTGATAAATACCCATTTTTAGGAATTACTTCTTTCCTTCTCACATATATATTCCTGTTAAGGCATGACATCAGAATGGGATGCTCTGGCCCTTGTTAGTGATACCGTTGTGATAACCCAGTTATTAATAACTAGAAAGGAGCAAAGGGAAGGCCAAATATTATAGTCATTTGTGCAGCTTTGCCAGGATGCATGCAATTCAGACGCATGCCCAGTAGAGTCTGGGTGAAATAGGGAAGGTACTTGTCTGTCAATCACACCTGAGAACAGGTCATTGGCCAGAGTAGATGTGACCACTGCAAACGTGGGAAGATCTGACATACGTAAGCTCCCAAACAAAGGAGTTTCCTCCCTTGGTTCTGTGTGGGACTCTTAGGACTCCTGTTGCAGGGGGTGCACTCTCGTGGCTCCCCTGAATTTCCCATGTGGCCCATAGCCATGTGGATCCCACACAATGGACTGATGGACCATTAGGCAACTAGCCTAATGCTGAGCTGGACCCAGCTCCACCACGGAACTGAAACTTTGGAAGCTGGCTTTGCGTCTAGCTCTGCTCAATCCCCAGCAGCACATTTTCTAGGGCTGGATGAAGGGAAATGAGACTTTACAAACCCAAGGATGTAATTTCATGCAAATAAAGCTTTCTATGACATCTCATCCTCCTGTGGGGGCCTCCGGAAATGCCCATGCCAGTGGCACCCCAAGAACCCCACTCCCACTAGCAACAGAGAAAGACCATCCATACATTTTCTCTGATAGTATTAGGATATTCTGAAACCAGAGTCTGATTTGACTGTATGGACAGTAAGGACTAGCTTTATTAATTAGGCTATATCTACAGCTGTTCTGACAAAAATATATTCAAATAGTAAAATATTTATAGTTAAATTTATAAATTACAGTATATGTAAAAATATTTGTTGTAAATATTTGCAACATACTCTATGCATATTTAAAATATGCATTTTGTAACTTCTGGTCAAGATGGCGGGGTAGGTAAACGCGGTATCGCATCCTCCCACAACCACATCAAAGTTACAACTAAACTACAGAACAACCATCATTCAAAGCCGCCTGAAATCGAGCTGAATGGAAGTCCTACAACCACGGAATTAAAGCAACAGACACTCGAGACTGGTAGGAGGGGCGGAGGCAGACGGGCTGGTCACACACCCACGTGTGGCGAATAAAATCAGGAGGACACCTCGGCTGGGAAGGTCTTCCCTACGGAGTCAGGGGTCCCCGTCCCACACCAGGCACCATGCTCAGGGTTCCAGTGCCAGGAAGAGAATCCCCATAACTTCTGGCTGGAAAAACCAGCGGGAACTGAGGCTCAGGGAGGCTGAGGCGGCTGGAGCCCCAGGCAGCTCCTCTTAAAGGGCCAGCACACGAACTTATTCAGATTTGCTCCCTCTAAGCTCAGAGAGGAGCAGCTTGAGGGCCCCAGAGACATACAGGGAAGAACTGAGCTGTTTGGCATTGGAGCAAGGGCTGGAGAGGGGGCTTTCTCTGGGACAAACGTGCTGTCAGAGGCCTTTGTTCCTTTGGTGAGCCCTTCCCTGGGACGGCAGACAGCCGCCATATCTGGGACTCCAGCAACCTGGCTCACACTGGTAGCCCCGCCCTGGTGACTCCCTGAGGCCCCGCCCCGCCCCGCCCCACCCAACTTTCAGGCCCACCCAAGCTGCTGCCAGTTGCTTTACTATAGGATTGGCCTGTCTTGGCTCCTGCTTCAGGTTTTCCTAAATTCTTTCAAACAAGCAGCATCTGGTCTCAGATAGCCCCATACCTCTCCTTAAGTAATACACTGAAACAAACACAGGGAGGCAGCCAAAATGAGACAAAGAAACAGGTCCCAAATGAAAAAACAGAACAAAACTCCAGGAAAAGAACTAAGCGAAATGGAGATAAGCAACCTAACAGATGAACTAAGTGAAATGGAGATAAGCAACCTAACAGATGCTGAGTCCAAAACACTGCTTATAAGGATGCTCAATGAACTTAGTGAGAACCTCAGCGAACTTAGTGAGGGCCTCAAGAGCATAAAAAAGGACCAGTCAGAAATGAGGGATGCACACTCAGAAATGAAGGAGGCACTAACTGAAATAAAGAATAATTTACACAGATTCATTAGCAGAGTAGGTAAAGCCAAGAAGCAAACTATCAATTTGGAATATAAGGAAGCAAAAAACACCCAATCAGAACAGCAAAAAGAAAAATGAATCCAAAAAAATGAGGAGAGTGTAAGGAGCCTCTGGAACAACTTCAAGCATGCCAACATTCGCATCTTGGGGGTGACAGAAGGAGAAGAGAGGACGAGAAATCGAAAACCTATTTGAAACAATAATGGCAGAACTTCCCTAACTTGGTGAAGGAAACAGACACACAAGTCCAGGAAGCACAGAGAGTCCCAAATAAGATGAACCCCAAGAGGCCCACAACAAGACACATCATCATCAAAATGCAAAAGATTCAAGACAAAGAGAGAATCTTAAAAGCAGCAAGAGAAAAGCAGTTAGTTACCTACAAGGGAGTTCCCATAAGGCTGTCAGCTGATTTCTCAAAAGAAACTTTGCAGGCAAGAAATATTCAGAGTGATGAAAAGCAAGAACCTACAACCAAGATTACTCTAACCTGCAAAGCTGTCATTTAGAATCGATGGCCATATAAAGAGTTTCCTAGACAAGGAAAAGCTAAAGGAGTTCATCACCACCAAACCATTATTATATAAAATGTTGAAGGGTCTTCTTGAAGAAAAAGATAAAAAATATGAACAAACAAAATGGCAATGAATACATATCTATCGACAATTGAATCTACAAACAAAATGAACAAGCCGAACAGAAACATTCTCAAAGATACAG